TGTATTTAGTCTATTTAAAGTTAAGCTACGTACAAGATGTAACAAATTTAGGGAGCAACCTTGGGAAGGGGATGCTAGAGAATTTGAGTGCAAATACCTTTCAGTGTTGAGTTCATGTTGTTTGTAAACATAACTTAAAATAACCATGAGTAGGGATAAGTCTGCAGAGCTGTATTATACAGCCACATCAGTGAATCTGTTCTTTCACCTCTGGGGATGAGCAAAAGCAGTTAAAATGCAAAATGTGGTCACTCATCAGTTTCAGGCAAGGACACCAGCTCACAGGAACACAGAAAAACTCATGGAATAAGCCTTCCTAAAATTAGGAAAATACATCTGTTTTGTAAACAGGCTTTTTCTTGTGAAGGTAATATGGAATATTAAACCATCATTAGCAAGTGGAATACATATTTTTACAAGTGGCAAAGAAATCCCTTTGATAAAGTATATATTGAGACAGTCTTTAAAAGATAGTTAAGCTTGTTTATCCTATGGACCAATTTTCATAAAGATCGTAGTTATGCATCTTTCTTTCAGTGCCTTCAGAGAAGGCAGAAGAGAGAGAGAAATCCTTTTGATTTTAGCAGGAGAAGGCTGGGCAGTTGGGGCATCTGTGCCATCTGACAGGCAGCCAAACTTTGGGCCAGGAGCGTGGCCAGCATGGCAGGAGACACAGGTAGGGGCAGAGGAACTGGCACTATCACAACATTAGGCAAAAGGAGAGTGACTAGAAGGAAATTCCACCACTTTGAGGTTTGGGGGAGCTCAAGATGATGGCTAGGGAAGTGTAAGGAGAAGGAGGTGGGAAGGCTGGAAGAGCTGTGGGTGTTGAGGTGTGAGCTGGAGCACCTTGTGTATAATGGGAAGGCTGTTGCAGGGAAGAGCTGGTAACGAAAGGGTGCTGAGCTGGGGCTTGCACAATGGAAACTTGAGACAGGAAGCAAATTCATAGGAAACTGGTCTTCAGCCTGCTGCTCAAAAAAACAAGCTATTCTTTAGAGCCTCAACTGAGCTAGGAAAGGAAGAGGGCACAGAGTGATGGGACAGACACATTTCTGAGCTTCCCTAGGACTAACCTTGGGGCCAGAGGATTTCTTTCCCTGCAGAGAGAAGGATTTGCAGTGGATCCCTTCCCTGGAAGTGATGCTAACCAGTTGGGTTGGTTTTGGTTGGTTTTTTTTATTTATTTTTTTATTTCAGCAATATGTCCACCTAAAAATTAAACCTGCTCACATCACTTGGCAACGTGTTAGTAAGAGTGAAAATTAACTACTTTATTGTGGGTTAGTTGTAGATTGTGAATAGTGTTACATCCTAGGAATCACTGTAACACAAACCAGAGTTTCTGCTGCTTTGCAGCACCTTTTTTCCCTTCACTTGCAAGCTCATTTCTTGCTTTGGGTTACTCCTTTTGTTTCTATTTATGTAGCTATATATGCTACAAGGGATTATGGCTTCAGGTGAGCTGAACTGTAACCAGTGCTTGAGAATGGGAAAAATATAGCTGTATTTCACTGATAGGTAAGTTTTCATTAGAACAAAGACAACTGAACTGTAACCAGTGGTTGAGAATGGGAAAGATATAGCTGTATTTCACTGGTAGGTAAGTTTTCATTAGAACAAAGACAATAAAAAATGCTAAAATGGTGACTGCAATTGCAGGTATATTTGACTTTTCTGAATGGGATTTCCAAAGTGCTTGAATGCTTTGTTTTCCATGAAAGTCCTTATATGGGTTTCATTCCATTTGGACATAAGAATGAGATTACCCTTATAAATAGTAGTAAGTGAACCTTTTTGTTAGTAGCAAGTAATGACAGTGTTTACTCTTCTGGAGATGACTCCTGTAGGTTTTACTTTTTATCATGGAGTTGTGATTTTTGTCATAGATGCACACGTGAAGTTTATAATCATCCTCACTTTATTCTTGCTTAGCTATGACCAGCCATCCTACGAAATTATATTTTTAGACTTCTTTCCTAAGGAAATGAAGCTTACACTAGTCATGCTGTCACAGTCAGCTGCCATCGGCCATCCATCTGTCCACCCTTGATAACTCAGCCAATTTTAGGCAAACTTGACAGACTGGCAGAGGCAAACTAACAAGTTTTCTCCAACTCTGTGCCTGGGAGGGTCCTTGCTGGTGTCCCTCACTGGAAGAGAGGGACACCAGCAAGCTCTTTGCTCAGTCCAGGCAGGGATGAAAGGCAGCAGGGTGCCAGGCATGGTGCTTGGCTGGCCAGCCCAAGAAAGGTAGTGAGGAGAGCAGCACCAGGGCAGGTGGAGTATGCTTTGAGGGCACTTTGGAGATGGCACTGGGGAGCTGGAGATAGAGAAGGACCTGGGGATGTGAAGGCAGTCATATGGTGAGAGGGTTTATTGTGAATCCTGCAGGAGATGGGAGAGGCAGGAAGAATAATGTGGCAGGAGGTGTAAGGAGAAAAACAGGAACAGATTTCCTTCGTTCTGCTCATGGAACAACTTGTTTCCTCTCCAGTCATAGACACAGCTATGAATGTTGTAACCTCAGAGAAACAAATGATTGTTGGATAATGTTGTGTGTCCCCTTTGCTGTGCCTGACTGCAGATGGGTCTCTGCAGGGTTGGTTACTTTGGTCAAACCAACTGGAAACACAGTCTTGAGTGCACATTGCTGCTATTGGAAAAGGTTAATCATTGCCATGCTATCAGCCTTAAAAGGTTTGGTCATGTGGAATGCTAAGCTTAAACTGAAGAACTCCAACTATGCGTATTGATTTGAAAAAAACCTAGTGAAGTTTCTAATTTTGATTTTTCTCAATGTTGTTATGATTTATGTTGAATGGGGAAGATAGAAAGGAACATGGGAAATGTCAGGCACAACATTGGAAGGTTTGTGAAAAAAGATGAAATTTTTGAAACTCCAAGTGAAAGAGAGTGCTCGAATGATAACCTTGTGCTAAGTGTTTAGATACCTTTATCAGACTTCAGAGGTTTTTTTGAGAAATTTGGGGATTTTCACCTGTTTTTCAACAATTTTTTTCTCTAGATACTTTAGTTTATGGCATTCCCTTATCATGCTACATCCCTATCTCTCACAGATATCTCTGTGCTCTGATTTTCTGCTGGTTTTCTCCTGGCCAGCTATTTCATCATCTGCTGGGGTATTTTATTTTATTAGTTCTTATGCTGTAATTCCAAGAAGTGGTGCTGCGTATCTTCATTTATAGAGCACATAAAAGCCTAAGCTTTTAATCTCGAAGGTTCAGTCACAGTGGAGGACTTTATGCAGAGTGAATCTATTGAAATACAGTTGCTTGTTTTCCATGAACTTATCACAAGTAATTTCCCCCCTTTCTTACCAGAAGGATCCTTAAGCTGTGTTTGTTTATATCGCTGTAATTTAATGCTCCTTAGCTCTGATACATCCTTGTCTTTTGGTTGAAAACGATCTCTCAACTGATGAAAATTTCCAGTCTTGGCAGAGATCAGAGCCTGACCAGCTTCTGATTAGTGCTTGCTTGGATACTCTTTTCCTGTGATTGTCTCCCGTAGTACAATAAGCTGCTCTCCCTCGTTTTGCCTGAAAGTGCAGTCGCCTGCTCTGGGCTGAAGTGCTGGAGTTGGAATGACATTAGGATGTAGCAGGCTCCAGCAGGAAGCAAGGAGCTGCTGGGGAAGGTCAGGAAACACTTTAGGACCATCAGAATTTTCTGCCACATCTTTTGAGACCATAAGACAGTATAAATTAACGTATTTAACCCTTCTAGTCAGCAATCCCTGCAGGATTATGTGTGCACTGTTTGTTTGTGCTGTACAGCTAAATAAACCACAAAGTTTTGCACTGAGCAAACACCTTTGCTGAAGATACTCATTGTATATGCAAGAATATATGTATCTATATATATCATAGAATCATAGAATCGACTGGGTTGGAAGAGACCTCAAAGATCGAGTCCAACCCTACCGTGGTTACTAGACCATGGCACTAAGTGCCACATCCAGTCTCATCTTGAAAACCTCCAGGGTGGCCAGATTAAACAGCCCTAAATTGTTGAATCTCCTCCTTTCAGATTGTTTGAAGAAATACAAAGAAAGTACCACTTTTTGTTTTCCTTCCATTCAATCTTCCAGAATCAGCATGTGCTCCTGTGTCTCTGCTAAATGTCTCACCTGCCAGCCAAGCTCTAGGAGCATGGAGAAAAGTAAAAATGCTTCTATTTCTCTGTTGGTTTTTGCTTTCTGTCCCCTGCATGATGTTTTGGGTGTTGCTTTGTTTGTGCTATACTGAGCTTTGTCTTTTGTTTTCAGAACTTTTTTAAGTGATTTTCATGAGGAAGGGCTGCTTGTTCACTCTATCTTTTTGTTCATACATAAACTTAAGCAGCTCTTGCTGCAGAAATTTGAAAGGTACACCAAGTGTGCTGTGCAGTTTTTCTCCCATATTTAAACAGATATTAGCACGAGTCCTCTAATTAAGGTAAAAAAAAGTTACCTGTTTAATGTTATTGTTGTTTCGTCTCTACATTGTATTTCACGCTATAATTAAAGCCATGACAGTACATCAGAATTTACAGATTATAGGGAAACATATGCAAATAGTCTTCCTCACTGTGAGGTTTATGCTGTTACAGTGCATGATGAAATGCAGATGAAAGAGAGGTGGATTTCAGAAGGGGCTTGCAGTTGGAAGGAGTTGCAGCTGTAGCTGCCTGGGGACTGCCTGAAGAACAAAGAGACCAAAACATAATCTGCAGAGAAACTTTAGCTTTTATTACCATGCTAGTTTATTGCTGTCAATATTTTTTCACTTTTTGCTTGAGCCAAATTAAAGTCATCCCCAAAATTATAAGGCATGGTCATTTGACTGGAATTTTAAGATACATAACAGCAAGCTCTGAAACCATTTCAGTGATTAGCAGTCATCCTAGTGAAGAAACCACTGTGTTTAAGTGTGTTAAGGCTCTGGTACTTCTGAGAAGAGAATACAAGTCATTATAACACAAATTTCTCCTTACCTAATGGTGCATCAGCTGGATGTTAATGAGAATCTCTTCAAGGTGTTGCTATTTCCTGACTGGGTAGCGTTCCAGAAGAGATCCCCATTTAGCAGTGGTGTGGAAGTGCTGGAGCTGCACGTCACCACATCCAGCACTGGCAGTCTAGGGATCAGCATTCCAAGTGACCACTTTCCATTTCTGTCTTTAACAGGCTTGGGAAAAACCAAGAGAAAGACGAGCGCGCGAGACGCTTCACCCACTCCCAGCACAGACGCGGAATACCCATCCAACGGCAGCAGTGCCGACCGGATCTACGATCTGAACATTCCAGCCTACGTCAAATTCGCCTACGTCGCGGAGAGAGAGGATGAACTGTCCCTCGTGAAAGGCTCCCGAGTGATTGTCATGGAGAAGTGCAGCGATGGCTGGTGGAGAGGTAGCTACAACGGACAGATCGGCTGGTTTCCTTCGAACTATGTGGTGGAGGAGGTTGAGGAGGCAACTGCAGATTCCCCCAGCTTCCTCAGCCTAAGGAAAGGAGCTTCCATGAGTAACGGCCAGGGCACCAAAGTACTCCACATTGTTCAGACACTGTATCCCTTCAGCTCCGTCACAGAAGAAGAGCTCAATTTTGAAAAAGGGGAAACGATGGAAGTCATTGAAAAGCCAGAAAATGACCCGGAATGGTGGAAATGTAAAAATTCCAGAGGGCAAATTGGTCTTGTTCCTAAAAACTATGTAGTAATCATTAGTGATGGTCCTACCATTAACACTTCCCATCCGTCTCAGATAAGCTACACGGGACCATCTTCTACCGGACGCTTTGCTGGAAGAGAGTGGTATTATGGGAATGTTACCCGACACCAAGCAGAATGTGCCCTGAACGAGAGGGGAGTGGAAGGAGATTTCCTTGTTAGAGATAGTGAGTCTTCGGTAAGTGGTGCTCAGCCTGGCAGGTTTGTCCTCCCCCATGCTTGGCTTGGCAGTTAACAGATTCCCTGTCTTTTCACCTTTAAAGAAGCATCAACGCTTCAGCCTTACCAGCCGACACACTTTACTGCTGGTGAGAATCTGTTAGTGAAATGCAGTGACATTCCCACTGAAATTTAACAGCTGTGGTCTGTGTGATCCAGGTTTGTTTTTTTTTTTATAATTAGTGGACAAGCAAGTAAGTATTTCAAGCTTCTGTTTGACTTTTTTCATGTGTTTCTCATCTGCAGTCCTCAACTTTACAGTGCTACAAGGTAAAATAATTCTATCCAACAGTTGCAAGATTAAAACCCCAGAAAATATGGGACACCCTGAATGCTACAGAGTTATATGTAAGTCTAGTTTCAGGAGCTGACTTTTTATGAATAAACGCAAGGGAATGGTTGGTTCAGATTATAGAATCATAGAATTTTAGAGATTGGAATGGACCTTAGAGATCATCTAGTCTCAATCCCCTGGCCTGGACAGGGACACCTCCCACCAGGGCAGGTTGCTCAAGGCTGCATCCAACCTGGCTGTGAACACTGCCAGGGTTGGGGCATCTACTACTTTATTCTACTTATTACCTTATTTTACTATCTTCTATATACCTTATAAGATCTCTTATTCCCTATTCTGATCCCAAATAGGCAGCCTTAAAAATGAGATGTGACATGGAAACTGAGGGAAAGGGGATAGAGGAGACATGAACACACACACACTATGTACTGGTTTGATCTCTTCGTAACCTGATTGTTGAGAATTTTTGGGGGCTATTTAGCTTTTGTCATAGTTTGCACATTGTGAGAAAGGAATATATTATTCCATATAAAACAGCAAAACACCTCGTCATGGCCTGAAGCTGTGTCAGGGAAGGTTTAGTGTGGTTTAGGTTTTATTTCGATCAAAATTTGGTCATGGATTCCTAAGCTAATTCCAAATATGCTCTTTGCATTGGTCAGTTTTGTTCTGCTTTTAATTGAATAATTATATAAGTTCTTTATTGGTTAAAATCCCATTTTAATGTATTTCTGCTCTACTTAGATCATTTAGGTTGTAATACAGTAAAGTTATTTTTGTATGTAGTTGTTGAGATTATGGTACACAACAGAGAGGGTCAAGTCAGCAGCTCATATGCTTTGTAAATTGAGCCTTGATGACATCAGAGGGATATGAGTAATGCTGATTAGGGTTCATTGTAATTCTGAAAGTTCAAATTTGAAATTCAACTGAAAGGACTTTCATGTACGCTGAGGACAGAGAATTCACAGTCAAAGCACTCAAAATTTAATTACCCCTTGGCTGTGATTTTGAACAGCTGACAGATTTTAATCTTACATCACATGTAACATTATAAGAATTGACAAAATTCAATCCTGTTACAGTCTTGGATTTTTTTATCTGAATACAGTATTGCCTGATTAAATTTTAGGCATCTTTCCTTGATGAATTTGCTCTGCAGAAGACATGATAGCTGTCAAACTACCCTTTCTTTGAAGTTCTGTGTCATTGAGTTCCTATTTCTGCTTAACTGTAATCACTAAACAAAGGCAAATGCAAATACACCACAGGAGGACAGGAAGAAAAATAGAGATTAAAGAAAGATATGCTGGAGGAGAACAGGGGAGAAAAGTAGAAATTTCAAAATCATGACTGATTTAGAGTGTGAGAGGAATCAAGTTTGTTTAGTCAACAGAAGAAAAGACCGAAGTGAGAAGTGAGACACAGAGTCTTCTAAAATGTAGAAAGCCAGTGGAGGGTTATGGCAAGCATTAAATTACAATAGTTCAGCTGTCTCTTCAAGGCAGCATCCTGTCTGATGGGGGCAGGTGGAATACTGGATGAGTGCACTCCTGGTGTGTCTGTCCAGCAGAAGGAAGCTCACCTTCAGGTCTGGGTGCTGCATTGTGGGTTATCCTGAGACTAGCTATCAATTTTCTTCTGTCTTTTGGGAAAGTGCCTGAAGGACAGTTTGAAAGTGAATACATTACTTAAAATACAAAAATACTCCTCCATTTCTCAGTGCACACCATGTCCCAGTGACCACCATGCTGGGGCTTGTTTGTTGACTATTAGGAGTCACCTTCTGCCTCTGGAATAAACTGATTTTCTTGAAAGAACACATTGACCTTCTAATTGAAGATGACTTTGTAGCACTAAATACTTGTATTTAAAGCAGTGTCAAATTTGCTGCCTGCATTGTTGCTGGAGAAATCATTGGTTATGGAGCAGAATAAGATTCATTCACAATGTGGTCTTCAAATTGTTTCCAGCATCTAACACTTAGTGGAATCCCAGGAAACTTACTCAATTCATATTACAGCAAGTTTTTTGCACACTCTCCCCCAAAGAAGAATGTGCTGAATTGAGGAACTTAACTTTTTCCTGCTTTTTCTACTCTTGATCTGGTGTTGCAGAACTGATATTTGGAGGTTGTCTTAACAATCACAGAATCACAGAATCAGTTATGTTAGAAGAGACCGGAATGGGTCATCTGGTCCAACCTCCCTACTCCAGCAGGGCCACCCTAGAGCACATGGCTCAGGGTTGAGTCTAGACAGTTCTGGAATATCTCCAGTGAGGGAGAATCCATGACCTTTCTGGGCAATCTGTTCAGTGCTCTGTGATTGCACAGGAAAGAAGTTCTTCCTCGAGTTCAGGTGGAATGAGAAATGAGAAAACTGTAGTTATGCATGTAAATGCCTCCTTTGTCTTAATGCTACTTGAGAGGTTTAGTTTTTATTAGGTTTAAAGAAATAATTTGCTGCATCTCAAACTTTAGTCTGCCCTAACCTCTGTGTATCATACCATCATGCAATTTGGTTCTGTATGTGAATTATAAAACATTGGGGATTGCTAATTTTTTTTTCCCCTGAAGTGCCAGGTGTGATACAATTAGTGGATGGGCATACTTGATAACATTGAGAGAAAGATCATATTCCTTTCTAAAAAAGGCCCATAGATAAAACTGTGAGTCATCCTGCTAATCCCATGCCTGATTTTTGACCTGTTTTAGGGTTTTCTATAGCCTTCCATCACCATAGTTACCAATTTTCATCTGTATATAACTTTTCTTTAGATTTCTTTGAGTTTTACTCTTTTTATTGCTCTATGAAAAGCTCTCCTTGGATAGATGAAGGTTTGTATTATTCTGTATTCAGATGATGAGACTTCCATGTTTTATCATCATTTCGGATGATGAGACTTTCAAGTGTTAGTCGTTGCAAGATTTGACAATGTTTCCCTCGATTTAACTTACCAGATCAGATGTTTGTCTCACAGTTAGGTTCCTTGAGCCAAAAATACTCTCCTCAGTTAAACTGAGATCTAAGGGATGCTGCCATAGTGGAGAATATCCTGAGATGAACTCTGTAAGGTAGCTAGGAGCCTGATTATCTTCATTAATTACGAAATACTATTATTGGAACCACGTACTTGTTTGAACCATTTAAGCCCATAGTTTATGTAACAGGCACAGTTACCTACTGATAACATTTTTGCCAACTCTGTCACACCTAAGTAATGTCACCTTAGTTTTGGAGATCTAAAAGAATTGGCACTTGCCTAGTTAGAAATACTAATTGATCTTTCTGTTGCAGGCTGCTAGGCTGAGAAACTGCAGTTTGTTGGCTCATTTAAGTAGCACTCTTGAACACAAAAAAGTGCAAATTTAACCTATGCTGTATCTGTGCAGCCACTTCTTACCCTTTTTGAATTGCAGGCTCTTCTGCTTTCAGATTTTTTGCCTCTCTGTGTAGTTCCTGACACAAGACAAACAGGTCTTGGCTGGCACTGGTGGCCTGGGTTGGGTGAGTGATCATCATGCTG